TTCTTGGTGGTTGGGGGGCAACAGTGGGAGGGCTTCTAGTGTCCTGGCCCCACTGCTGGACCTCCTGATGGCACCCGAGTTTTGGCCACTGAGTGTTGGACTGGATGGGCCACTGGCCTGACCCAACATGGCTTCCCTGATGTTCTTAAGCACAGGATAGAAATGTATTTGGTGGTGGGAATAACATTGTTGTGGGAATAACATTAACTCGCCAGGGCTTCTATAAGGACATAAAGATGAACACAGAAGCTGCCTTATATGAAGTGCAGCTACTGGTCCATCTGGCTCAGTATTGTCTTCTCTGATTGGCCGGGGCTGTCAAGCATCTTGGGCAGACGACAGTCTTCCTCAGCTTTTGCTAGCCAAAATCCTACGAAGCGGAGATGCTACGGCCTGCAGACTGTCCATCATTCAGCCCCATCACAAGCTTCTAGGGTTGTGTCAAGGGGGGGAAACATATAAATTAAAGGTTTATTGCAAACAGACAAAAAACAGGCCAGTGTTAGGCCCCAGATGTCCAGTCAGCTTATCGCCAGGCCCAAAGCGCTGGCCCAAAAAATCCAGGCAAGGAAATGCCATAACCTCGTAGCATCCAGAGAGCAGCTCAGGATGCAGACTGACAATCTGGACCAGGCACCCTAAGTGGAAGCCTGCAGAACCTCTGAAATTCAATTAACCCAGGAAGCAGCTTCCTTCCCCCCCTTTAGATATAGGGCACGGGAACTGCAAGACCGGAAGGGCGGGGCAGGTGGGAAGGATGACAGAAGAAGAGTGATTAACACTTGGAATTCACTGCCACAGGAAGTGGTGGCGGCTACAAGCATGGACGGCTTCAAAAGGGAATTAGATAAGCATATGGCGCAGAGGTCCATCAGTGGCTATTAGCCACAAGGTATAGATAGGGACTCTGGGGCAAGTGATGCTCTGTAATCTTGGTGCTTGGGGTGGGGGCCAACAGTGGGAGGGCTTCTAATGTCCTGGCCCCACTGGTGGACCTCCTGATGGCACTGGTATTTCTGGCCACTGTGTGACAGAGTGTTGGACTGGATGGGCCTTTGGCCTGATCCAACATTGGCATCTCTTATGTTCTTATGGTCTTAAGAAGAAATAGCAGAGGAGGGGGAGAGCTGCCTTTATCTTCCGCTCCGACACGTCCCCTCCTCCCAAAGCGATTCAATAGAAAATACCAAAAGAAAAATGCTCCGTGATAAATGTGGCTTAGCCGGGTGGACTGCGGCACTGTAAAGTCCACACCATGGGAGTAGAAAGTATCCTCACAAAGCCGACGTTCACCGCCTGGTGAAACCAAGCCCTGTGAAGTCTGATCTCCAGGAAGTGGCTGGGTGACCCACAGGTACTATCCTGGCTTGCAGGGCAGTCCTACAGAAAGAAACATGCAAACGCTAGCACATCCGGAAGAGGATGGCCTTTGTCTATGGCAGTTCCTGTTATTCTCAGCTCAAGAGTAACCTTGCTTAAAACTGCTGTACAACCCCCCCACCCCCATGTCTGAGAAAAAGAGAGAGGTATAAAAATTCTAATTCTGAAATGCATAATGCAAATCATTCAAAATTACTTATGCTCACTTCATTTGCATATGTTGCTTTTTTTTTTTTTGGCCAAAATAATCTAAGACACCATACACAAACATTTCCTGTCAAGAAAAGAAAAAAAGGAGAATTTGGGAGCAGGCCGGGAGAGCAACAGCTGGAGAACTCCGGCAGAACAGAATCGAAAGGACAAAACACAGAGCCATCCTGGAAGGACAATGACAACCCAACCCTAAACGCATTCTCCCTTCTCGGGCAAGAAGAAACAGTCCAACTGCTTTCGTGGTCTTTACAGAAGAGCCAGTGTTCCCTCCAGGGCTCTTTTTGTAGAAAAAGCCCAGCAGGAACTCATTAGCATAATAGGCCACACCCAACAGGGAAAACTCATTAGCATATTAGGCCACACCCATGACAGCACAGCTCATTGGCATATTAGGCTACACCCCCATGTTACCAGAAGTGTGCTCATCCAGCCACACCCACCTTTTACTTCTTATTCTGTTTACCTTGTTTGTTGTCCAAACCCAGGGCTTTTTTGTAGCAGGAACTCCTTTGCATGTTAGGCCACACATCCCTAATGTAGCCAGTCCTAATGAGTTTCTGCTGTTTGGTGTGCCCTATTATGCTAATGCGTTCCTGCTGGGCGTGGCCAACTTGGAAGTCAGCCGGAACTCCGTTCCTGTGCGTTCCTGCCCAAAAATAGCCCTGGTTCCCTCTAAGCTGAGCTGGTGTGAGCTAGAGCACAGTTTTTTAGCCTCCGGCTCACACATTTTTGTCCTCGCTCAGGAAGGATGGCTCCAAAGCAAACTAATATATGCAGTAGCCAAATCACTTGCTCACAACTTTAATGCCAGGAGCTCACAAAGTAGAATTTTTGCTCACAAGACCCCACAGCTTAGAGGGAGCATTGCGAGAAGCCTACATCCCTCCCCCCCACCCCATGATGTCTAGAAATATGTTCTCTTTTTAAGAAACTGAAACTTTGATTTTTATTTTCGCACAAGTGGCCATATTGTGCAGCCTGTAGATATGTATTCCCCCAACACAGGAAAAGAATGCTTCTACATTTGCAAATGCTGCTACACTAATCCATCTTTGGATTTCGCCATAATCACTTTTTAGACTCTTAAAGGTCGTTTGGAGCATCAACCCCAGGCAGGGTGTGTTTTTGGACAAAAGAGAGAGAGACAGGGAGAGTGTGACATCGTTTAAATTGTAGGCTGACAGTCAATTTGTTCAAGCTGCCGAGGACAGTGGAGAGGAATCCTTGAAAATAACCACTCTGAACTGAATGGTGGGATTCCTGCCTGCTCCCCAGTTACCCTGTGCACCTAATTAGCACCTTGAAAAGCCTTGGGCGCCACACCAGGTGCTCTACTGGAGGGGACATGGCAGGCAGGTGGGATACCTGTTCCCTTAACAAAGACCTTGCTGCTCTTGTGTAGAGATGCTTACCTAAGTCCTCCCTGTGCCGTACTGGAGACAGGAATGTGTCAGCACTTGGAAAAGCATCTTCAGGTTCATTAACATGGATTAGTTGCCCCTTAAGGTTCTTCTGTGACCTTGCTGTACTTCCAACCAGGTGGGCATCCCCCACCTTTTAAAGCATGCTGATAGGTAAAGTGAGGATTCCCCTGCAATAAGGAGGTCTATGGGGTGGCTGCACTAGAATAATTCATCTCCCAAATGAAAGACCATGATTTTACATCTGTAAGGGCCGTTCCGCATTCGGCACATCCAATGAGATGACTTGGTGCGGGCTGGCTGCTTCCGTGGAGTTCAAGTTTTTACTTTTTATACTTTTTTGCCTTGCCTATCCTTGAAGCACTTAAGGCCAGTCCTAACAGAAAAATCAATAATCGGATAAAACTCGCCCAAACAAAGACCGCTCAGATGTTGTTGTTTTTTAAAAAAACAACCAATCCACCAAAAACTAAATAGCCACAAAACATTTCCTTTCCCCAAAGGAAGTATCACAGAACAGCAGCTTCCCCAAAAAACCCAAGTAAGGCCCCGGTCACACGACAAGAAAGGCACGAATGCTGGGCGGATTTTCGGGGCGCAATCACACCGCAACATCTGGCAAGCGTAGCGTGCCGCCAAAGATGCGCAGTTAAAAAGTACCTGCAAAGATCTACTAGCAAATGGTTTGCCACGGGCTGCAGACAGACTTGTTTGGTGTGATCGCGCCAGCGCGCGCCTGCTCCCTCGGGCCGTCCTCTTTGCAGCCCGTGTCAAAGGACGAAACCCCGGTGCGCCGCCATTGCATCTGATCACATAATGGCAGATAGTCACGCCCCCCCCCCCCCCCCCTTCGCATTTCCCGGCACATGTGGCTGGGGCCTAATTATCCATCTGGTACTTTATTCTGGTTTTATTCTTATTAACTATATTGGATTTTAAAATTTGCATTCTGTTTTATGGCATTATGCCTCTCTTGTACATCGCCCAGAGTCCGGCATAAACTGGGATAGGGCAATTAATAAATCAATAATAATGATGATGATAATTTAAAAAAATCAATATTCCTATATTCCTGTAAGGCCGAATATTTCCACTGTAGACATCCACCTTACACCACCTGCCAGAAGCCACCTGAAAGCTCATTTTTCAAGGCCAAAGTAACACAACTTTCGGTCATGCAAGGAAAAAGTCATTGCTGAACACGTCTCCCACTGTGAAGACAGACCACAAATTAGCAGTCTTGGGTGGGTGAACCTCCTTCCAAATCAAAGGCCAGCATGGTGTGGAGATTAAAGGTGCTGAAGTAGGGGTCCCAAAGAGCTTAGAACAGTGGTGGCGAACCTACGGCACGGGTGCCAGAGGTGGCACTCAGAGCCCTCTGTGTGGGCACGCGTGCCATCGCCCCAGCCAGGCCCAGACCATCATTAAAGTGACAAATTCTCTGCCAAATAATGTTAAGTAAGTGAAAGCATTTGGGATTGCTTTCCTTACTTTGTTTGGATCATCTTAAGTTAATGTATGAGTTGTGTTTTCTAAAGCAAAAGCTCAGTATTCAGGTTAAATTGCCGTGTGGGCACTTTGCGATAAATAAGTGGGTTTTGGGTCGCCGTTTGGGCACTCGGCCTCTAAAAGGTTCGCCATCACTGGCTTAGAACAACCTCTCAGCTGGGTTTCCCCACACAGTCATGCGGGAAGGCCAAAGCACAGTGCAAGCAAAGCACGCAGACAAACCAAGCCTTCTTGTTGTGCCTCTCTCAACTCCTCTGCTTCTGGCTGGGCTACGCCCTGTCTCTGCCGGTTTATCCCAACCCTCAGTCCAGTGCACTTCCCTAACCCACTGTGACAGTCCTAGTGTTGCAGCAAAGGGCGTGAACCAGGAAGCGCCCACGTTCAAGTCCTGTCTGTGCCCCAAGTGCCTTCGGCAAGTCATTCTCTCCCTCAACCTCAATCTCCACCTGCAGTATGGGGATAACATGGCTCACGTACCTGAGATGGGATACAGAGATGGAACATCTGAAACTTCCCTGGGTTTATCAAGGTCAGCACTGTCTACTCTGATGGGCAGTGACTGCCCAGAGTCTTGGGAAGAGAAAAGCCTTGCTTAAGAATGCTGAGCACAACCGAGCCACAGGTGTGGCACGGACCTGCCTGGACGGAAACCAAAACCCAGACCACCAAGCCTGACTGAACAGATGGGAAGGGCTCCGTGTTCAAACCTGCACTGCCATCATAGTCCGGCAAGTTGAGATTCAAAGGCAACAGGGCAAAGGTCAGCCCAAAGGTCCTGGGCGGCAAGGGTGAGAAAACAGCCTTTCTAGGAATACGGCTGTAACATTGGCTGCTCCCTATTCCAAAAGCAAAAGGACGGGGCAGAGAGTTCAAAACACCAGTCCCCAGTGTGGTGCCCATGCAAACTACGGCGCCCGCCAACACCTTTCCTGGCGCCTGCCGAGTGCTCGTATAAAGTGGGAGGGCCTAGGTGAGGTTTCTGATTGGCTGTACAGATTAAACTGCGCTCCTGTCTGAAATGTTGAAGAGGTGCTATTAAGTTATATATATAGGTCCCTGCCACACGGCAGGAAAAACACCGGCCAAAGTGCGGCTAATTAGAGTCGCACCAAAATAGAGACGCCGCGGCGGGATCCCACGATCCCCTGAGCCGCGGCGCCGTTGCTTCCCAGCACGATCAGATGCCGGGGAGGAAGACGGTCGGGAGGGGGAGGCTGCCGAACTGCGCATGTCTGAGCATGCGCAGTTCGGCCAGGAGCCGGGGATGCGCCGGCGAAAGGACACGCCGGCGATCCCACGGCTGGCCTTGATGCGGTTCATTTTTGCTCCGTGTTTTGGGCAGAAGGGCCGGATCGGGGACGGGTGCGCAACGCTTCTCAGATGTTGCGGTGGGATCGCGCCCGTTTGCTCCGCCGCCGATCCGTCCCTCTCACGGGCCAAAACCGGTCACATGACCGGGGCCATATAACCTCACTCCCTGAGATTTTGCGGCTGGCTTTGCCTCCGGTGGCAGCCATTTTAAGATTGGCTCCACCTCCTGGCAGCCATTTTGTAATTGTGTCAGAACTCCAAAGGTGCCCACTGGCTTAGAAAGCTTCGAGACTCCCAGTCTACTAGGACAGGAGATGAAATAGACTAACCTAAAACTGAAGTAGGGATAGCCACCTTGTTAGTTTCATTTCCTCAGGAGCCCAGTTAAGTGCCCAAGTTTGAAGAGGTGGTACTAAGCAGCCCAGTGGCCTTCTCCACATTTGACCTTGACAGTAATATTTCTCAGTTCCAGCCAAAAGTTACCTCTTTGCTGTCTGGGCATTGAGTGACAATGTGGTGAAGGCATGTGAGAGGCAGTGCTGCCGCTTATCACTCAAGACATCACAGGTATTGTCCAATAGGTGCTCTCAAAAGATGCTCAACTACACTCCAAAAAACTTGATATGGCCCCGTTTTAAGAATGGGGAACGAATCACATTTCCCCAGGACCAGTGCACTAAGTACTAGAAAATGCAACCCCACTGAAATAGGAACACTTCCTCAAGAGGAGACATCTGGATCCAACGCAGCAGTAACTGCTACTACACATGGGCCATCCTTTGTCTTCACATTCTGAAAAGGTCCTTGAGAGCTTTTTGAAGTTCTGGGCAGACGAGACTCTGCCAAACCAGCTTGCCTCCTCTTTGCAGTTGTGCCTAGACATTGCTCTTCAGTAAGTCCCCAAGACTGTCCAGAAAATGCCCTCCTATGAACAATGCTAGCGCATGGATCACTTCGGACAGAGAGGCGCGTGAAACCCCGGCTTCAGGAAGTGCGGGGGTCAGCACAAGTCGCCATTAGACATGTCGTTATTTGATCATTTCACTCAAATTAAACTTCTTTCAGCATCTGAACAATAAACCTTTTCTTGATCTTTCTCGTTTGTCCAGTAAATTAAAAAGAATACGGGGTGTGTGTGTGTGTGTGTGTATATATATATATACCCCACCCCCCGCCTTGTGCTGCCAAGAGAGAGACCCTGGAAAATCCACAAGCAGGCATGTAGACAAGAGAGGAACGATAAGAAAAAGCGATAAGAGATAGAAAATAGCAACAGATTCAAACTTTCCCACCAGCCTGGAGACTAGGGGAGGCAGGGATTCAGCCAAGCAACTGACAGTTTCCCTCTACCCTCGCCCCCCTCCCACACTGTGCACCACCCTCTATGTACCTGTCAAGCCGATGAGTGAGGCAGAAAGGGGGTGGGGGGTGGGGAGAGGAGAGGAGAGGTTGCACGGCCTCAAACAAAAATCCACCTGGTTCTTTTGAACAGCTTGTATAGGAGAGCCACAGAGAGGAGGAGGAGGAGGAGGAGGGAAAAGTGTTTTTGAAGTTTCCCCTGAAGCTGCCTTTTGGGGCATGTTTCGACGCACCACCTGCCCACCCCCCCCCCCCCTTTGGAAGGAAGACTCTTCCTGCAAGAAAACCTGCAGCTCTCTGGCGAGGGGAACACGTCGAACATAAACACCGCTCTGCTGCGGAGCAGAGATAGCAGGATAGGATAGATACACCCACCCACGAGAGATAAAACAATGTCTCCAGGGAGAAGGCTCTGCTTCCCTGCGGTCCGCCGAGGTCATTCCCACCAGACAATAAAACCTTTTAAACAGACAAACGGCTTCGGCATACTTTTTCACTTCACACGCAGACCCAGGGAGGGCAAGACCCTTTCCAGCCCAGAAGGCGCAGGAGGCAGACAAAAGGGTCAGTATTGTAGTGAGTTAGACGGCTGATGTTGGAAAGGTCTGGATTCAAATCCTTGCTCAGTCATTGGCGGGTACCTTTGGGGGGCATTCCTCTCCATCTCACCCAGCAGATGGCATTGGAAAGGGGAAGCCAGGGTTCCAGTATCTGCTCAGACAGGAAGCTACCCGGGAGTGGCCCAGGGCAAATCCCAAATTCATGGCCTACTCCGTAGGGCTGTTGTGAGCAGCAGTGGTGGAAGCTACTCACATGCTCACCTGTGTGCCTAGGAAGGAGGACAGAAGTAAGAGAATACACACAAAGTCTAAAAACGTTGTGTTTTTTTTAAAAGAAATGGAAAAGAAAAGCAGAGCTGCTTAAATGACTTAGGTCAGGGTCTCCAGCCTTTTCAAGCCTGTTGGCGCCTTTGGAATTCTGACACAGGATGGCCACTGTAAGTGGTGGGGACCAAGGTTGCGTTCAGACTGGCAGTTTGGCATGATATGGTGCCAACTCTAACTGAACCGGTTTAAAGTGTTGCAGGGCATATCAGCCCCACAGCACACCCTGCTGCGGCTTACGCGCAGAGACATCCCGTGGTCAAGCATCCACATTACTGGAGCACCACAGGCACGAAGTGCACTGCAAAAAAGTTCAAAATTTACGTGCATGCATAAGTGTGCATGTGCCACATACGCGCATATGCACTTGTGCGCATGCATGCGCATACAGGCAATTTTAAAAAACACCTCCTTAGCAGCAGAACAGATCTGCAGGTTCAGACTCCCAAATCCGTTCTGCACATACTCCCCCATGTTCAGACATGCGGCCATGCGCAATGAATGTGCAGGGAAACAAAAACACCACTTTGGAGGTGGTGGCTTTTTAACCCGGCTCCAAGTCGTCCTCTTGTGGAGTGAGTACGCACAGGGAATGCCTGACAGATGTGGCTGTGTGACCGGGCCCCATTTAATCAGTTTGTGAAATGTGTCTATATTGGGCCAAACTGCCAGTCTGAACGCAGCCCTAGACTTCCCCCACTTGATATCAGACTAGGACTGGAGAGATATGGGTTCATCTTTCCAGTCTGCCATGAGTGACCTAGGGCCAATCTCCCTCTTGTAACCTAACCTATCTCACAGGATTGTTGTCAGGAAAAATACAGGAGGGCAAAATACCACTTGCAAGAAAGGTGGGATAAAAACGTGATTTTCTAAAAGCATTTGGTGGGTACCAGGAAAAGTGTTGGCAGGCACAAGGGCACCCACGTGCACCCACACTGGAGACCCTGCCTTAGGTTCCATGTAAACCTGGAGAGACGTTCGTCTAGTCACCATTTTTCATTTTCGGTTTTCCCCCTTATTTCCTTCTCCCCAGCAACTCAGTGCACCTTGAAAGCCTGTTTTGCAGACAGCATTTTCTGAACAAATCCAATTTGGCCTGCAGGCTCCCCCAAAATGGCCTGAAAAAACCCTTATTTTCTCTCCCGTTAAAAATATTAAATATCCATCCTGATAAAAGAGTCCTAGAGAACCGGAAAGCTCGTCCGCTGTTCTGTGATATTCTGGTTGTCCTCACAAAATATATGACACAGCTATATATGACACACACTTTTAAAAAATAGCTACATGCACACATACCTGCAAGCTAACTCAATAGTTTAGGCTGTGTGGGGAAAGACAGGCGGTTCTTAGTTTAAGAGGGTTTTCCCTCACGAGAAGCCAAAGCAAGGTAGGAGATCAGGGTAAGGTTAAATTGACCTGGATACGGTTGCGTCACAGGACAAGACGTGAAGGAGAAATTAATGTGGGAACAAGCACTGATGTTGAAAAGGGGGGGGGGAAATAGGCAATCGAACCTATTATGAACTAGAACAAAGTTTGAGCCCAGTGGCACCTTTAAGACCAACAAAGTTTAATTCTGGGCAGGGCTATTTGGGGGCAGGAACGCACAGGAACGGAGTTCCGGCTGGCTTCAGAGTTGGCCATGCCCACTACAGCCAAAACCTCTGCGTGCGTGGCTACGGAGGAAAGGCCTGGAGAGCGACACACACACCCCGCCGACTTCAAGGCAGCAGGCAAGGGTGGCCCCTGGAAGGATCGGGGAGGCATTTAAATGCCTCCCCGTGCCTTCCCCGGCAAGCCAAGGGCAAGCCAAGGGAAGGCAGTTTAAACTACCTTCCCGTAGCCGCGGAGCACCTCGGCAAGCCAAGGGAAGGCGTGAGGCGTGGCCTAATATGCTAATGAGCTGCACTGTCAGGGGTGTGGTCTAATATGCTAATGAGTTTGTGCTGTTGGGTGTGGCCTATTATGCTAATGAGTTCCTGCTGGGCTTCTTCTACAAAAAAAGCCCTGATTCCGGGTATAAGCTTTGTGGGTCTTGAAGGTGCCACTGGGCTCAAACTTTGTTCTATTGCCTCAGTCCAACGCGGCTACCTACCTGACCCTATTCTGAACGATACTGCTTTAGCCTACAGGTGGTAGAAGGCACATCTGAATGATTTCCTAGACAATGGCTTCCTCCATGTACAAAACCAGTCTATTAGGCAGCAGACTATGCTGG